GTTACTGGCCACAGCCCCCACCTACATCTTGCAGCTGCAGGCCCCCTCCCAGCTACATTCAAGGCCAGGTAGGGCAGGACCTTCTCTGCGGGTTCTGACCCCTGGCGAGGGTCTATCTCCCACAGGCTACTCACCTCAAACCCTGGCGGGGGTCCAGCCTTCCTGCACTCCTTCTGCTCCAGGTCCTCTGTCCCTCACAGCACCTGCGAGTCTAGGACCTGTCTACATGTCGGTCCTAGGGCCCAGAGATGAGCAGACTGGTTCTTGGCTGAACTGTTTTGTTCTCAGTGCCTTGTCTGTCCATCTGTCTGCCAGCCAGAGTGTCCACTGGATAAGGCTGCTTGCTGGAGAAGGGTGGGGGTCAGGCCGGAGACCTCAGGCTGAGGGCAGGGTGGACAGTGCTGGCTCCCGCCTCTGTTTAACAGCTACTGCCACCCTTGCCCCAGTAAGTTCTGCTTATCCAAGGCCTCTGAGAACATCGCACACAACCACAGTGGACCATCCCACTGCCCCAGGAGGGCAACCATGACCCCCTTTTTACAGATGAGGAAACTGATGCTTGGAGACTTGAGGTGACTCATCTGGGTCACATAGGAAGCAGCAGGGCCCAGGGTTCCTCCTGCTGCTCCTTGGATCACGGGTGATAGGAGGACAGAAGAAGGCCAGGGCCACCGTAGGCCTGGGTCAGTCCCCCCTTTGTGTTGACAATACGTGCCAGCCCGGCAGCTGTGGGGAGCCCCGTCCATTCTCCCCCAGGCCGCAGGTGGGAGTGGGGCAACCGCTGTTCCTACTCCACTGCCCGGTGGACGCGGCTCCTCTCCGGGGTTGCACGCCGGCCTCATGTGCTCTGGAGAGGCGCCTGCAGAGACACACAGACGGCCGCCGTGCAACAGCTGCCCCACAAGTGGAGCTGCCCCTCCCCCTCACCAGTGGGATCTGAGTCCTGCTTCCTGGGCTGTGTGTGGGCACTCTTCCTCTCTCCGCGAGTCCAGCAGGAATGGCCCATGGTTATGGTTTGGAGGTAGCCACAAGGCCTGGAGGCACTGCCGGGAAAGACAGGGAACAGCACAGGCCCACTCAAACTGTGGCCCAGGGGGATGCCTCTCCCTCAAACCTGCACTGAGAGACAAACTTTGAAATGGGGCACGCAAGCGTGCATGCATGCACACGTGCACACACAAGCACACATGAAAGTACACACACATACACACATGTACACGCAGACTGAAAACCTGAAGCTCCCCTGGGCAGCGTCACTTCCAGACACACTGATTCATCAGCCCCTCCTGGGAAAGACCCTGGGCTGAAGGTGAGGCCCTGGGAGGACCCCAAAGCCTTATAGCCTGGATCTTTTGTCAGGAGCAGAGGAGGGAGCTGCCGGAGCCTGGGGGTGGGGAGCGGGGCCGGCAGGCCTCTCGGTCCAGCCACCCACCCTTGCAGGCCAGGGCCAGCCTGTGGTGGTGCCACACAGCCCATGTGCTGTCCAGAGCCCTGGCCGCTGACCCGTTCCTGCCACCTTCTGACCTGTTCTCGCCACCTGCTGACCAGCTCCCCTTTGTCCCAGGTGGTGCAAAGGATCAAGGCTGTGGAGGGGCAGACCCAGCTGCTGGTGGTGGATAAGGAGACAGACGAGGTGCTCCGGCGCCGGCAGCTGACCTGCACCGAGGAGATGGCCCAGCGAGGGCTTCCGCCACTCCACGACCCTTGGGAGCCGAAGCCAGACTGGGTGCGCATGGGGAGCCTCAGTTCCAACGCTGATAAGAAGGTATGGCGGGCTCTGCCCACAGGGACTCCAACCTCTCCCAGAGCCACCATCTTGGCCTCTTGCAGACAGTCTTTGCCTCTGATCACCTCTGGAAGTCTCTGTCTCTTCTGTCTCTTGGGGTTCCTGCTCTGCCTCTTGCTACCCTCTTGGCCACTGGGGGCCACCCTTTCTGCCCTCAACCTGTGTTTTAACCAGGTGGGGCTGGGGCAGCCAGGTCTGTCCCTCTCCTTTGGGACACTTAAGGAGCCACCTGGCCTAGGAAGGGGTCACTCTGACCAGCTGCCCCCTACCCACCCCAGCCTAGGGCTGAGGAACCGCAGGAGGAATTGCTGGGATGTTCCAGGTTGGAGTATGCCCGTCTCTGTCTGTCTTGAGGAGTCCATGTGTGCTGTGAAAGCCTCAGAGGTGGTGGCCTGGGGGGTGGGCTCTGAGCAGCCTTGCTGCCCTCATGCTGCGGGGACCTGGTGGAGCCTGCAGGAAGCTCAAGGGAGAGTCGACTCTTCCCACAGATAAAAGAGAGGGTCCCAGCTGGGTAGCAACTTTCTCTTGCTCCTACCTCCCATCCTGGATAGGACACCTGGAAAAGAACAAGGCAGAGCCTGTTCATCTCCTTCTAGGTAACTGGGCTGCACCTTGAGGTCAGGAGGAAGAGCCTGAGGCTGCTTTTTGCACTCTTGGAAGCCCTGATATTATTGTTCCTCCCCTGGAGAGATGATATTAGGACCCTAGGACCCGTGTGTTCACATGCACCAGGGAGCATATGATGTTGTCTCTCACAATATCTGTGGACCCCCTGAACTGGTGGGAGCCCCATCTGCCATCCCTTTTTTCTTTTTTTGAGTCAGAGTCTCACTCTGTTGCCCAGGCTAGAGTGCAGTGACACGATCATGGCTCACTGCAGCCTCCATCTCCCAGGTTCAAGCGATCCTCCCGCCTCAGCTTTCCAGGTAGCTGGGACTACAGGCATGTGCCACCATACCCAGCTAACTTTTGTATTTTTTATAGAGATGAGGTCTTGCTGTGTTGCCCAGGCTGGTCTTGAACTCCTGGGCTCAAGTGATCCTCCTACTTCAGTCTCCCAAAGTGCTGGCATACAGGCATGAGCCACCATATCTAGCTTTTTTTCCTTCTTATTTATTTATTTTTGAGTCAGGATGTCACTGACTCAACTTGCTGGGCTCAGATGATCCTTCTGCCTCAGCCTTCCAAGTAGCTGGAACCACAGCTGTGCACTACCATGCCCAGCTAATTTTTTGATTTATTGTAGAGACAAGGTCTCACCAAGTTGCTCAGGCTGGTCTGGAACCCCTGAGCTCAGGCAATCCTCTTGCCTCTGCCTCCCAAAGTGCTGGGATTATAGGCGTGAGCCACGGTGCCCAGCCCTCTTCTTTTTTTTAAGAAATCCCTTTGCCGGGCCCAGCAGGTCAAGGCTGCAGTGGCCGTTAGCATGCCACTGCACTCCAGCCTGGGTGACAGAGTAAAACTGACTAAAAAAAAAAGAAGAAGAAATCCTTTTAGGGAATTTGAGTCCAGTGGTTCTCCAAATCCCACGTTGAAAACCACTGGCCTAGGGTGGTGGCAGTGTCCGAGCTGAAGTTTCTGGGTATGCAGGAGACCTGGATGTCTAATTTTTCCCTTTCCTAGACATCCCCTACGTTGCTGACTGTGCCTGTGAGCTGAGCCTCATGGGGCCTGCCTTGGCTGGGAGGTGGTATTCCGGGTGGGAAGCCCAACCTGGGTGAAAGCCTGGTCGTGGGAACCTGTGAGACAGTCTTTGTTTCTGGGACTTGCGGGCAGGCCACAGGGGTGGGAAGGGCCATGCAGGTGCCCAGCCATGGACTGGTGGCTAGCTGGTGCTGCTATGGTCCCCAGGTCGAGGGTTGAGTCTCTCTCCTTCCAGGGCTCCCATCACAACCCCAGGAGGAAGTTCCCCCTTGCCCCAGGCATTTGTCCATTGATTCAGATGCAATGCAGTGTCACCTTCCTGTGGAAAAATCCGCCCTCAGGCCTTATCTGGAGGGTGGGGTGACCAGGCACCTTGTCCTTGGGTGGGACCTTCCCCCTTTTTGCTATTTCAGGCTGGGGACTGTAGGAAGTCCCAGGAGGGGGCTTCCTCTGGGCGTATTTTTAGAGGAACAAAGGGGGGCCTAGTCTCTCTGGATGAGGCTGGCCTGGGGAGAGAGTCTCCACGAGGTCAGGGGACACCTAAGGGACAGGACCTCCCTCCTCCCTCCTGGCCAGAGACCCAAAGTTTCATTAACTGAGCTTACAGCATGGAAAGGAAGAGCCAGGCCTTGTCTGACCTCCACAAACCAGGCTTCAATCCCGTCTCCCCTCAGGCTGGGTGCAGGGAGCACCGGCTGTCAGGGAGCTGGGAGGGCAGTGCTCACCCTGTGGGGTGTGCTCCAGCAGGGCGTTGGTGGCAGGGGCAGCCCCAGGAAGGGATGTATGCTATTGGCTTTGGATGGAGAGGCCTCACCCCTGGGTGCCCCGTGGGAGGAGAGGGACACGCTCGCCCTCTGTGAGCTTCAGTGTCCTCTGTCCTGGATTGGGGATGGGGAAGGTGGGGCAGGGGACGACACCAATGTGGTCAGCCCTTCCTCTGGGGGCTGTGAAGGCCTAGTCAGTGGTGACTCAGCCCTGGGCCACACCAGGCTGGGGGGGGCTGCAGCTGCAGCATAGCTGATCTCAGTGGTGATGACAGGGACAGCCCCCAAACAGACGGAGCAGCTTAGTAGTACCAGGGCCGTGGAGGCGGTGACAGACCCTGGGCCCTTCACCCCCGTGGCAGAGTGAGAGTGAGGGTGACAGAGTTGTGCAGATGTCTAGGATGCAATGCCCCCAAGAGGGGCTCTGGGGCTCTCCTGGCTCTTGTCCTCCAAAAGCTGCCCTGCCATAGGACTGTCTTATGTTCTGGGGCTGGGATCCCTCTCTGTTTCTCCAGCCCTGTCCCTGGGTCTTAGAGTAGGGCAGGGCCTTCTAGCCGCTTCCTTCCTTCCTTTCTTGGGACGGAAACTCAGCTGGGTGCGGGGCGCCAGGCTGGAGCCTCCACAGGGGAGTGGGCTCAGTCACCAGCCTGCTCCCCAAAGTGACTCAGCCCCCATGTCCCCACCCATCCCCAGGGAGCCTAGGCCACAGTGCGAGGTAGATAAGTAGGATGGCAGCCTGGGCCAGCCAGAGAGCTCAGGCCACCCCAGCCAGAAGCCCATCGTCTGCCATCTCTGTCCGGCCTGTCATGGTGCGCTCCGGGAATGCTGTGCCACCTGCCCCAGCCCCTCCTCGGAGCCCACCCCGAGGGTTGATGCAGGTCAGGTGGGGGACAGGGTGGGGCTGGGAGGAACCCAGCAACTGGCTTAGTCCCCCAAAGTGGGAAGAGGGGACTCTGGACCTTGATGTAAGCAGGCTGGACCCCGAGAAACAATGAGGCCTTTCTCTGCCAGGGATGGTGAGTCACCATCTGGGGGGGCTCCTGGAGCACCCCTATGCAGGCCTCTTTGTCCGGCCACAGGCATGGCTGGGGGATCAGAGCTTGCCCCACTCTGCTGTGGCTGCCTGCAGGGAGCCTGTGGGAGCCAGAGGCCTGGCGGGAGGCGGCAGGAAGTGTTCTGGGAGCCAGGCCCGAAGAGGAATGTGAGCAATGCGCCCCTCCCCACCTCCTCCCTGTCTCTGGGCCTCCTGCTACCCCCACCCCATCCCGTGGCTGCCAGCAGGCAGCCCAGGCCCCCTGCATCGCACCCCTCCGCCAGAGGGTCTAGGGCCAGGTCTGGCGTCCCTTGGGCCCTGCTCACAATGGGAGGGATTTATGCTCTGCTTTAGGAGGAAGCTCTCACTTTGCGTGGTGAGAGGTGGTTGTTCTGGACTGAGGCAGAGGGATGGCTGGGGTAGCCCCTGGAGCACAGATGGGGCCCGGCCTGGCCTCGTAGCCCCGGATGCTCTGCCAGATCCTTCTTCCCATCTGGGGCCTTGAGAGACCCCGCCCTGCAGGCCTTTGAGCAGGGCGTGGGAAGGGCTGCAGAGGCCGGCACCGTGGGGCCATCCGTCTGCATGTGTGTGTGACTGTGTGTGTCCCAGTAGCATGTTTTCAAGCGTGCTTGGACATCTTATTTCTGTAGCCATGTGATGTGCCTTTGCCACCTGGGCCCCTATCCACGGCCAGGCATGGCCATGTCTTTTTTTTTTTTTGAGTTGGAGTCTCACTCTGTTACCCAGGCTGGAGTACAGTGGCACGCACGCTCACGGCCACCCCAGCGTCGATCTTCTGGGCTCCAGCGATCCTTCCGCATCAGCATTTCGAGTAGCTGGAACACAGATGTATGCTATCACGCCCAGCTATTTTTAAAATTTATTGTAGAGATGAGGTCTCACCAGGTTGCCCGGGCTGGTCTCGAACCCGCAGGCTCAGGCAATCCACTTGCCTTGGCCTCCCAAAGTGCTGGGATTACAGGCTGAGCCACCGAGCCCGACCTGTGGCCATGTCATACTCCCGTCTCCCATGTGCTGCTCTGCCCAGCTGAGCCCCTGGAAGACTGGGGAGCAGCAGTCCTGTCCCTGGAATTCCTGGTATAATGGAGGCCATGTGGTGGCCATGAAGAGAGGGTTCAGAGGGCTGGCAGGAGACTCTCAGTGAGGTGTCTGGCCAGGCTGGACAGAAAGAGGCTGGTCCAGACTGCTAGGAAGGACCCAGGCCCAGGGACAAGGCCCTGCCCTGTGGGGCAAGACTCCTGCTCCCACGACTGGGTCGCCCACTGACATGTCTGTTCCCAGAGCTCCCATGGCCAGGTGGCCCACTGATGTGTCCATTCCCAGTTCAATCTGGGGTATGGAGTAAACTTGAAGGCTGGGTGGCCAGAGTGGTCTGGGCTGCAGGAGGCCATGCATCTGCGATCTTGAGACCTGTTCTGAGATCTGAGGAACCCTCCCTCTGTGTCACCCTGGCCTGGCCCGAGATCCCTCAGAGACCCACAGGGAGATGGGAGGTGAGGAAGGAGCCCTGGTCAGCACCCCTGCCTGTAGACTGCCTGCACACGCCCCAGGTGCTCCCAGGAAACCCGAGCTGCCACCCGACCGCTCACTCTGGCCACCGCCATGTTTAGTTGAGCACCAGCCGCCGCTGGCCACTCAACACTGCAGCCCAACCGCTGCTGGACCTCTGGTGGGCGGAGGTCATCAGGCCTGGGCCTGTCTGCATGGCCCCCGGTCCAGAGCCTGTTGCAGGATGCCAGAGGTAAAGTAAGGCAGGGCCCTGGGATGGTGGCAGGGTCCCTCGAGGCACCACGGGGGCTCTGTGTCCGTTCTGGGCAGAGGGCGGGCCAGGCCCTCTCACTGGGCTCCTGCTCCAGCCCCTTCTTTGGGTTAGTGGGGGCGGGGTGGTTGGTTTTACTGGAATGTGAAAGCAAATGCAGCAGCACGGCAGCCATGGCAGAGGCCCTTGGAGAGAAAACAAACTGCTGCCCAAGAGCTCCACGCTTGGGAGCATAGGGAAGAGGGTGCGTGGGCCGGGCCCTTGAGGACAGCCGTCCCCATAGACTGATGGTAGCTTGTCCCACCTGGCCAGTCCTCCAGCCCTGCCTGCACAGCGCTGACTTTGAGCCCGGGGGATTCTCCCAGCAATCATGTACAACAGCTGGTTCCATCAGGAGAGGGTTTCGGGTTTGGAAGCAGGCTTGTACAAGTTCCCACAGCTGGAGCTCTGTCACCTGCAGCCTTTGCGACCCCCCCAGGGCCCACCCTGCGGAGGCAGTCACTAGTGAGTGACCTCAGGGTAGGGGCTGGAGCCAGAACCTGAGCCCGCCTCATGCCCGCAGGATGTCAGCGGGCCACAGAGGGAGCTGCGCCCTCGGCTCTGCCACCTGCGGAAGGGACCTCAGGGCTATGGGTTCAACCTGCACAGTGACAAGTCCCGGCCTGGCCAGTATATCCGCTCCGTGGACCCGGGCTCACCTGCTGCCCACTCTGGACTCCGTGCCCAGGACAGACTCATTGAGGTAGCTGCCCTGAGGCTTCAGGGGTGCTGGGGGGCCATGTGTGTCTGTTCCCATGTCCCTGTGTGCACACATGTGCCCATCACTCCATGCCTGTGCCTATGCCCCAAGTGTGTCTGTGTCCATGTCCCCATGTGTGTCCATGTCGTGTATCCATGTCCCCTTGTGTGTCCGTGTCCTGTATGTGTGTACCTGCATCCCGTGTGCCTGTGTGTCTGTGCCCATGTTCCCATGTGTCTGTGCCTGTGTCCTGTGTATCTGTGCCTGTGTGTTGTGTATGTCTGTGTCTGTGTGTGTGTCTATACCTATATCCCCATGTCTGTGCTTGTGTCCTGTGTCTGTGTCCTGTATGTTCCTGCATCCTGTGTGTGTGTGCCTGCGTCCTATGTGTGTCTGCATTCTTTGTGTGTGTGCCTGTATCCTGTGTGTGCCTGTGCCTGTGTCGTATGTCTGTGTCCTGTGTGTCTGTACCCGCATCCTGTGTGTGTCTGCATCCCGTGTGTCTGTGTCTGTGTCCTGCGTCTGCGTCCTGGGTGTCTGTGCCTGTGTGTGCCTGTGCCTGCATCCTGTGTGTGTGTGTGTGTGTGTGTGTGTGTGTGTGTGTGTGCGCCTGCATCTGGTGTGCATGTGTCCTGTGTCTGTGCCTGTGTACTGTGTGTGTCTGTATCCTGTGTGTCTGTATCCTGAGTGTCTGTGCATGCATCCTGTATCTACATCTGTGTCCTGTGTGTCTGTGCCTGTGTCTTTTGTATGTTTGTGCATGTGTCTGTGCCCCATATCTGTGCTTGTGTCCTGTATGTTCCTGCATCCTGTGTGTGTGTGCCTGTGTCCTATGTGTGTCTGCATTCTGTTTGTGTACCTGCGTCCCGTGTGTGCCTGTGCCTGTGTTGTATGTCTGTATCCTGTGTGTCTGTGCCTGCATCCTGGGTGTTTGTGCCTCTGTGTTGTGTGTCTTTGCCTGCGTCCTGTGTGTGTGTGCATGCGTGCGCCTGCATCCAGTGTGTGCCTGCGTCCTGTGTGTTTGCGTCTTGGGTGTCTGTGCCTGCATCCTGTGTGTCTGCGTTCTGGGTGTCAGTGCCTGTGCCCGCGTCCAGTGTGTGTCTGTGCCTGTGTCCTGTGTGTGTGCCTGTGTCCAGTGTGTACCTGTGTGTCTGTGCCTGTGAGTGCTTGCATCCACTGTGTGTCTGCATCCTGTGTCCCCGTGTCTGTGTCCTGTGTGCGCGCACCCGCGACCTGCATGTGCCTGCGTCCTGTGTCTGTGCCCCCATCCCTTTCTTTGCCTATGTCCCGTGCGTCTGTGCCTGCGTCCTGCGTCTGCATTCTGTGTTCTGTGCCTGTGTCTCTGTGTCTGTGCCTGCAACCTGTATTTATGCCTGTATCCTGTGTGCCTGCGTCCTGTGTCTGTGCTTCCAGCCTGTTGGTGCTCGTGTCCTGTGCGTGTGTGCATCCAGGCCCCAGGTCCTTGCTGGGAGGAGGAGACACTGGGAACCTGAGCTGACACTCCTCTTGCTGCCTGGGCTGGTGGCAGCTTTGATGAATATTTGATGCCACACCTGGCCCAGCAGTGTTGGGGGCTGGCCGGACCCTTGGCAACACTTGACCCCATGCTGGTGGTGGCAGGTAAATGGGCAGAACGTGGAGGGGCTGCGCCACGCTGAGGTCGTTGCCAGCATCAAGGCACAAGAGGATGAGGCCCGGCTACTGGTGGTGGACCCAGAGACTGATGAGCACTTCAAGCAGCTACGGATCACGCCCACTGCAGAGCACGTGGAAGGTGGGCTGCAGACCCTGGGTACAGGCTGGGTGCTATGTGGGGGCAGGACAGCCAATGACACCCTGTCCCTACTCATAGGTGTCCTGCTGTTACCTGTCACCAATGGGACCAGCCCTGCCCAGGTGAGAGAGTGGGCCCAGGAGCCTGCAGGAGAACCTTTGCGGGTCCCCAGGCCTGACAGATGCCTCCTTCCCAGAGACCCCTGTCCTTGAGAAGCTGCAGTTGTGACACCCAATGCCAGCTGGTCACCCTGGCTTTAGTGCCCACTGTGGATCCCATCGTGGTCAGTGCCATACTCCAGCCACACGGGAGCCTCTGGTGGGGCTGCTACCCCGTCCCCCTCCCTGACCCCACCGGGTAATGAGTCACTCTTCAGTGTCTGCCTCAGGGAGTCGTCCCTGGCCTCACCCCAGGTGTCACTCACGCAGGTGATTCCTGGATTCATACTGCCTCCCTGCCCCCTGCTGGGTGCCCTGTGTCCTGCTCTGGACCCCGAGTGCACTAGAGGCATGGTGCCCATGGCTGCATGGAGAAACAGATGTGGCTGTGGGTGCCTGTGTGCATTATGTGAGCAGGTGCGTGTCTTACGTATGTGGCTCCCTGGAGGGCCCTGAAGCCACAACTTGCTATTGGTTTCCCAGCTCAATGGTGGCTCTGTGTGCTCCTCCCGAAGTGACCTGCCAGGCTCTGACAAGGACATTGAGGTATGGGTGCCCTCCCCTTCTACTGTGTTCACACAGAGGGGTGCCAGAGATCTTGGGGGTGAGGACGTCTGGGGAGATATCAGCTTGGGCAGTGGGGTCACCTCTTCCAGGAAGCCCTCCTGAGCCCACTGCCCCAGCCCTAAGCAGCCCCTGGTGTGAGTTCCCTGGGAAGGGCCCACATCTGGGGCTTGGATCTGGACTCACTTGGCACCCTGCTCACCTCGCTCACCCTAAGGACGGCAGTGCCTGGAAGCGGGACCCCTTCCAGGAGAGCGGCCTACACCTGAGCCCCACAGCAGCTGAAGCCAAGGAGAAGGTTCGAGCCACACGGGTCAACAAGCGGGCGCCACAGATGGACTGGAACCGGAAGCGTGAGATCTTCAGCAACTTCTGAGCCCCTCCCTGCCTGTTCTCTTGGCCCCCGGACCTCAGCTGCCCAGAACTCCTCAAGCCTGAGTGGACTGAGGTGGTCCCCCGCTGCCCAGACACCAGCCCGAGTCCCCATTTTGCTGCTACCCACAGGGTGCTGGGTCTGTTGCAGCAAGACAGGGGGGGAGAGAGAGACCCAGAGTTGTGAGAGTGGGGCAGAGAAAGGGTGAGACAGAGGGGGAGAGACAGAGAGAGAGAGAGGAAGGAAGGAGGGAGAGGGAGGGAGGAGGGGCGGGCAGGGCGACCCCTGAGTGAGGGCCTTTGCTGCTCGCTGGGGCCTGCTGAGAAAGGAATTTGGGTTTTTGTCTTTTTTCCAAAAAGATCTCCAGCTCCACACGTTTCCACTTAATACCAGAGCCCCTCCCCCACCCCTTTGGGACATGCTCTCTAAATAATTGCAATAAAGCAAAACTTTTCTGTGCAAACCATTTCCTCTCCTGCCCCCTTGCAGGGCCATCCTGCATGGGAGTCCGAGGGACTTCCCGGCCCAGGTTGTTTGTGGGGACTCAGGTGAGGCTGGGGAGGACGAAGGAACTGCTTCGTCCCTGACGTGGGGGTCACTAGGCCACGACCCCCTTGCCGTCCAGCTCCCCTGCTGCCTGCGGCCTGCCGGCATCCAGGGTGCAGGGCCTGGGCGCCCCTGAGGAGCCTGAGGCCCCATGCCCCCAAGGAGGGTGGCCTCTGGACAGGCAGCTCACTCCCCGTAGCCCCCAGGCCGAGGGAGTGGGGTGTGCAGTCATGGCACCCAGGAAGGACTCCAGGCTTCTGGGCCTCTGGCTTGCACCACCTGGCGCGCTCCCCCGAGACCCTGTCAACTCCACCCTTTCCTCTGGAGCCCGAACCTACTGACCGACACTGCTGTCTGCCTTGTAAGCCATAGCGCATGCGCGCCCTCAGAATAAACGGGCCTTGCCTTGGACCTTGGCACCTCTGTCTTCTGAGCCTTCAGTTGGGGTGGGGGGAGTAGAGGAACGAGGGCTATTCTGGAGGAGCCCTGTCTGAGACTCAGTTGCTGAAAACAGGGTCTTGTTCCTCAGCCCTTAATATGGCATCCATCCGCCCTCAGCTCCTTCTCCCCGCCACCTCCAACAGACCTGGGTCTCCCACACGGCCAAGACCTGCCCATCTCCACTCTCTGTGGCACATCCTGGGGCCTAGGCCCACCTCCTCTGCCCAGTGGAACCCAGCCTTCCCCCTTCACCTCCCCTGGGAAGCCACACAGGCCCAACACCCCTAGGGGCTACCCGCTGCCCAGTGTGACTCTGCCACCTTTAGCAGGTTCACACAGTCAAGCCTCATGCCCCGCGGCTCCCTGCCTGGATTCCCAGTGTCCCTTTCAAGCCCAGGTAGCTCTGTAAACATGGGCGTGGGACCCCAGTAGAGGCCAGGCTTTCAGGGTGCACAAGTTCAGGAAATGGTGTCGAGGTGGGGAAGCTGCAGGGCTGGTGATGGTGTGAGGGGACGGGGTCCCCAAGCAGCTGCAGGCTTTCGGCAGCTGGCTGTCACCATTTCCTCCCTCCCAGGTACACGCGCACCCACTCCCCACCCCCCAGTACACAGCACAGATTGTCACGTTCTCGCACGCACACCACAGGGCTCCCAGCCTGTCCCTGCCCCCTCGGGGACAGAAGTCAGACAGACCCCAGTTGCAAACAACCCCAAAGCTTTATTAAACAGGCTGCGGTTCCCCAGCAAAGGCACTGTGCAGACAGTGGCCAGAATAGAGCCCTGGCCAGCAACCACGTCCCTCAGAGCCCCTGGGCGGCCGGGCACAGGGCCTGGTTGAGACAGGCCCCGCAGCGGGGGTGCACAGGCTGACAGGTCTGCTGGCCGAAGCCCACCAAGAGTCCGTTGATCTCACTCCACAACTCCCTGCAGGGTGGGGGCTGGGTCAGTGCCGAGGAAGAGGTGGGCACTGCCTCCCAGCCTGCCCTGCCCCTCCCCAGGCACCCGCCCCCACACCTGGGCAGCCATGCCTCCAGGGCAGCACGGGTCTCCTCCGGGGACTTGGTGGCCCGCCTGGTCCACCCAAGTCTATTGGCGATTCTGTGCACGTGTGTGTCCACTGCTGCTTGGGGATGGGGCAGGGTGAACTGGTGGCATATTCCACCAGCCCAGACCATACACTGTCCCTGCCCAGAGCCCCAATCTCTCACCCCTGCCACTCCTGGACCTCCGAGCAGGCACTGGAACTTCACAGCCCTGCCGCGGGTCTGAGTGTGGCCACCTTGGCCACCCCAAGGAAACACAAACCTTCCCCTGCTGGGGAGGGGCCAGAGCCCTGTAGTGGGACATGGGCAGCCCCCTTCAGGTCTCTCGCTCAGCATCCCAGCAGGCTTGGGGGGGCATGTAGGGATGGGTCTCTCTCCAGGCAGTGTTGGGGGAAACGATATCTCTGCTCTGCCGTGCATTCTGCTTCCCACAACAGAGACGCTAGCCTGTGTTGAGCACTTGCTGGGAGCCAGACCCTGTCCAAGAGATTTACTGGGGGGGGCACAACATCAATAAGGGCTCTGATCTCAAACCAGGCAAAGTGGGGGAGAAAGGGAGGCTTAAACTTTACCTGTATGATGACCACTTGCATATCTGCTCTGTCTCCTGTGGCCTGAAGCCCCTTCTGGCTCAGGCACTGGCTGTGGATACCATGCTGGGTGGCAGGAGCTCTGCCCAGTGGGCCAGCATGAGGGCACAGCCTGTAGAGCTGGCACCTGCTACCACAGCTGTCAGGGACAGAGCAGGAGCATGGCCTGGCCTGCTGCAGCTGTTGCCCACCTGGGCTCTGTTCCTTGCTACCATCAGCCGGTCTGAGGGGCTCAGCCTGGGGGCCCTCACCTGGGCCTCCTCCCACTTGGCTGCCCCAGCCAGTGGCAGTCCCAGCCCTGCTACCACCCTAGCGTTTGCCAAAAAGAAAGACAATTCCTGCATCAGCTCCTCCGCCTCACTGCTGCCTGCCTGGAAAAGGTGTCCTGCAGGGAGACCACAAAGGCTCACATCCTTGGGGTCCTGAGTCTCAGTTTCCTCCTCTATAACACGGTGCCCAGGGTCCTAAGGGTCCCCAGGAGTTGAGTCCAGGGCCTTGTCATGTTGTGTGAGAAGCCTAGGAGAGCTTCTCGCACATCTGTGCAGATAATGAGGGCGACTCTCACCTGTCTTGTGGCTGAAGCTCAGAGAGGCCAAGTGCCTTGCCTGAGGTTACCCAGCAGGGAATAACTTTTGTATTCCATAGCTTTAGCTTTTTTTTTTGAGACAGTCTCTCATTCTGTACCTCAGGCTGGAGTGCAGTGGCATGATCTTGGCTCACTGCAGCCTTGAACTCCTGGACTCGAGCAATCTTTCTGCCTCAGCCTACTGAGCAGCTGGGACTACAAGCGTATGACACCATGTGTGGCTTATTTTTATATTTTTTTGTAGAGATGAGGTCTCACTTTGTTGCTCAGGCTGGTTATGAACTCCTAGGCTCAAGCCATCCCCCTGCCCCAGCCTCCGAAAGTGCTGGGATTACAGGTGTGAGCCACCGTGCCCAGCAGGCTGTGGCTTTTTAAGTGAGAGGGCTTCTCTTTCTGGGAACCCTCTAAGAGGCAATCCTGAGTGGTTGGACCCAAAGATAACCAGAGAGGGTGACACACTGACACTCCTGTCTGTTGTTTCTGCTGCTCCCAAAGCACTGTCCCCCAGCTTAGCTGTGGGCAGGGGCCCTTCCCCCACAGACCTATCTAACCACAACGCAGCACTCTAGGGACACGGGCAGCTGAGGACAGCTGCCCAGATAAGCTCAAGTATCTGTGGAGAGGCTGGCGGGTGGATGGCACTGGGAGTCAAGGAAGGGGAGGCCTTGTCACACTCCTACCTGGCCTGGCTCCGACCCTTTGAGGGTTTCTGTTCTCCAGCCTCACTGAGTGGCCACCAGCTAAGAACCAAAACCCCTGTCTCCGGCTGCCCCCTTGCCCACCAAGCAGTGCTAGAAGGCACCTCAGCCCAGACCCTCTGTGGAGTCCCGAAGGAGCATGGGATAAGGCACACAGAGGCTGTGGTTAAGCCCTGGCTTCTGGGCTAGCTAGGTCCTACTGTGTGTGGCCTCGGAATCCCAGCTTCTCCAGGCAAAGCTGAGAAGGAAGCAGCCCACCCCAACCCAGGAGTCTATCTTCACCCAACTATTAAGGAGCCTCTGGCACCAGGAAGCAGCACCTCGGATCTGGGAGGGGACTCCTGGGAGGGAACTCCAGAGAAGGTCCTCCCCAGCTCTACCCTCTCCTGCCCCACCCTGCCCAGGAGACAGGCCTCCCTCTTCAGCCCTCCTGCCTTCTCCACACCTCCCTACTCTGTCCTCTTCTCACTTCAGAACTTTCTGCTCCTGGCCCTCTCTGCGACACAGGTGCTGTTCCTTCTGCCTGGCACACACGTCCTCCACCTAGCCTGGCTACCCTGTCTCACCCTCAAGCTCTTAGCTGAAATATGACCTATGACCTCGGGAAGCCTTCTCAAATGCCCCCAGGCCAGGCCAGGCTCCAGCAGTGCCTGCATGCCACATGGGTGAGGAAGTCTTTGTTCAACGGCTCTCTCCCACACACAGCATAGATGGAGTCTAGCTCCAGGGTCTCTCACAGAGCATAGCACGTAATAGGTGCTCAGCACATGTGAGCTCCTGCCTCTGGACCCACCTCTGGGTGAGCTGGCATAGCTTGGAGCTGGGAACACCTTTCTGACTCTTTGAGCTGAGTTCAGGTCACAGGTCACAGGGTGTGGGGAACCGCAGCAAACCAGGAGTCACCCCTCGCTCAACGTGTGTGTCACTCACCAATGCCTGACACAGTACCCCAGGCCACAGCCATAGCCAAGTGTGCCATCTTGGGCCCGACACCAGGCAGTGCCACCAGCTCTGCCACAGAGGCTGGGATGTCCCCACCGTAGCGCTGCTGCAGGATGGCGCTGGTTTGCTTAATGTACTTCACCTTGTTCTGAAAGATGGGGGTCAGTCAACCCTGGAGGTGGAGGGTGTAGCCCGACCTGGGAGGAAGAGGACCTGGGGAGATCCACAGTTGCCTGCCCAGGACATATGTGGAGACACCTGCTCACTCTCCACCCCCCGGGAGGTGGGAATGGGCCAAGGGCAGCAGGAAGGTCCTGGGAAGCCTCTGGCAGGGCCCCAAAGAGGCCTGGACCCCTGTGTCCTACCCACATAGGTCAATGACACGTGTGGGGTCTGGCTCTTGTCCCCCTGCCCCGTCTTCCCCCCACCCCTAGAGGCCAAGCCAGGCCGAGCCAGCAAGACACTCCCAGGGGCTGAGCTCAGTAGCACCTGGGCCTTCAGGAAGGAAGGCTGGAGCCTGGAGCTCCCTCACCCACACCAAGTCAGCTGGGTGGTTCCCATCCTGTGCTGGAGTGGAGAGCTATTTAAAACCCATCCAACAAACTGCAGCCCACGCGAGTGCCAAAGGGAAGCCCCACCCACTGAGCTGCTTTCAAGAGATCTGCCCACACACCATCCAGTGTGCTGTGGGGTGTGGGAGCAGCTCCCTGGGGCTCCTGGAGGGTGGGAGGCTCTGGAGGAGAAGGGGTGATGAACTCCAGGAGGGCTTGGAGTAAACAAAGGGAAAGGTGGGCAGGCAGCCTGGGTGATGGTGAGGAAGGGCAGGGCGGGAGAGGCAGAGGAAGGAAGGGGAGGATGTGAACAGGAAAGGCCAAGGAGTTCTAGGGACTAGGCACTGGACCCATGGTCCAGCCCCACACAGGCTAGTCTGGGATTGGGGCGCCAGGGCATCCATGGCTAGAGATGCCTGACCCTTGCCTCCTGCACCCCAGTGCCCCTTTGGTCTCCCCTGGGCCAGTGCCACCCCCAACCCTGGTTGCCATAGGCTAGGCTTACCCTCCAGAAGCCCACAGGGTAGATGAGCTGGCCCAGCATGCTGTCGTCTGTCTGCAGGATGTTGTCTACCGTCAGGCCCCGGGCTCGCAGCCGCTGCATGGCACCTGCCGTCACCTGGTCTTTGGTCTGGCTGGAGAGCATTAGCGAGAGCAGCACCTGGTACCGGCGCACCTGCTTGTACAGTGACAGGGAGCAGGGTGGTGGCAGGTCCTGGGTGATAATCTGGGCCAGACTCACCAATGTCCTCCACCTGCTTTCACTTGTCACCCTGGACAACATATGGGACATCAGCTTTCTATACACCCAGACCAGTATGTGGATGGTCTGGTTTGGGCCTGTTTGTCACCTACAACATAAAAATACCTGCCTCACAGGATCAGTGTGAAGCTCAAATGAATTACAATAGCACTTAGTAATGTATCTGGCACATTGACATTATTTGACAGTCACTGGCTACTACTGTTATTGTTATTGATTTATGAATGATAACACTATTTTACAGACACGCAAACTGAGACTCAGAGAAACATTTACCCATGTCACCTGGTAGCAAAATAGGGATTAGAACTCAGATTGGTCTAAGACCCATGCGCCGGGCCAGTGAAACATAAAGAACTCTCTCCCGCCTGTTACAGAAAGCCCACGCTGTGCCTGTATGATGCCCAGCAGAAAGCACAGCACGAGGCCCTAAGCCACAGGTATCCCGACCTGCTGCGTGGCTATAATGAAGCAGGTAACACTCTGGGGCCATCAGGTGTGCATCCTCTCAAGGTGCTACATGCAGGGTAGGGTGCCAGCCAAGAACCACCAGGTCTCAGGTTGTCCCCTGCCAGAGGCCTGAAACAAGTGTCTTGCTGGACTGGGAGCATCTGGGTAGTTGGGGCCCCTGCCTACCTTTGGGGAGGCACTGGGGTCATAGCAGTGCTCAGCCCCCAGCTGATCCACAGGTGCATCCTTCCTGCTCCTCATGGTGCGAATGTTGGCCAGCTGCTGCTGCCAGTCCTGGGGCTCCCAGACTGGCTCCTTGAGTGGCTCAGCCCTCTTGTCCTTCTCACCATCTGAAGCCTCATAGGCCACACATAGTCTTCGTGCTTTCCGCTGATGCTTCACAGGCCTGTGACTTTGCTTTCCTTCTGCAAAAAGTCCCACTCAGTCCCTCTAGTGGGGGCCACAGGTGAAGGCAGGTGTGGTTTGCTGCACTAACTGCCAGCTCACCCCTCACTCATTCAGGCAACAACTGTCCATCATCTATTTTGCTTGGGGGTATCCCACCCTCTGCACTCTGGGACATGTCAGCCTTTCTTATGCCTGTGCCCCCTACAAGGTCCATGTCAGCACAGGAGACCCAGGAGACCCTAGCAGTAGTCTCCATCATGATGTCCCCAACATATCCTCTACATCAACTCTCCAACACTCAAGCCCAATTGTGCCACTTTCCTTTTTAAAATCCCTCATTGACTTCCCTTTGCTCTCATAATGGACTTTAACTCCTGGCATCCAAGTTCCTGCCACCGTGGCAGTCATCACCTGCCTGTTCCCCAGCACACCAGCTTCTGTCCTTGTCTGGGCTATCCCTCAGGTTCTTGGGCGCCTATGGGACTCCCCCTACGGTCAATTCTGCAGAAGTCCCAGCGGGACAAGTTCAGGGGCGTCAGTCTTGCTCACTGCTGACTCTCAAACTTGGCACGCAGCAGGTCCTTAATGGCTGTGCCATGCCCTTTCCTGTTTTCTCTCAGAGGCATCCTCTAGTTGGAGAGAAGACTTCTGGTTGGGTGTGTTCCTGGCACCCAGCCTCTCTGAGAAGGAAGCAGAGTTCACTGGGAACAGGGCTGGTGCAAGTGGGCTCTCCTGGGCAGCCGTGGGGGAACGTGAAGAGCTTTCTCGCTCAGGAGGCAGGTGGGCGGAAATCCAGCCCCTGAGAACCCCGGGCTCTGGGAGAAAGGCGCACGGTCGCACGTGGGCCAGGGAACCGACTGCGGCTGCCGGGTCCATGGCGTGCCGCAGCCCCCAAGTCCCCACCCCACCTCTCCTCCCGAGATCCCACAGGGGCACGGCGCTACCTGCAACCGCTTCTCCCTTCTGGAGCGGCGCAGGGTCCTCCCCATGCCTCCGCGGCCCGGCACCAGGGCACCGGCTCCCGCTTCGGGTCACCATCCTCATGCTCAAGGCGTTCATGCCGGACTTCTGCGGACTACACATGCCGGCGGCTCACGCGGCCCCGCCACGTGACTCAACGCGTGGCCACCTTTCCGACAGAGGGCGGCCCAGAACTACGACTCCCATAAAGCCCTGCGGCGGCCCTCCGCGCGGTCCCGCTACCGGAAGTTCGGGTCGCGCTTCCGGCGGCGGCTTCGGGCGGGGGGTGTGCACCTTTCTCAGCGTCGGTGCGGCCCG